TAAAAACGATGGGAAGATGTGAACAAGCCTGGAACTTCCCCTACTTATAGTCCCTATTTCATAAAGAAGATGGGAGGCCAGTGAAATCTAACCAGCCGAGCTCAATATGATATGCCAATCTTGCAATTTGGATCTTGTAGCCTCATCTCTGATCAGGTCATACTCACATCTCAATTTTTAAATGCCACTGTGTTCCACATGCTTGTGTCAAGCTTGTGATGGTACACCTCACCATCTTTATTTTTATACATTGGTGTCATCTGGATCTTGAACACTTTCTTTAAGCAGGTTGATTTCAATGTTTGTTAATGTCCTAGTTCTGAATTTGATGATTTGCACAAATCCAAGATGCACGAGTGTTATGTGTCTGCTTGTTAGGTGACACCTTGATGCGTAGGTCAATGATCGTGCAATATCTAATTATTAATACAGGTCACAGACAAATTGGCAAACAATGCAATAACCAACAACCAGAGGAAAGATGATTAATATGTATACTAGTGGTGAGACAATAGCTAATTAATGACAGAACCCACGTGAGTGTTTTCTGAGTTCGTGTGTGTGATCATATTAGTTTCTGAAGTTACTAATACCGTCAGATCTCATTCATAATTCTCAGGCACGATATAAGAAAGGGCACAACTACAAAGAAACATGAAATGCAGTTATAAGGTTATTATGACAGGTCTGTCATATCTTTGTTATTATGTCAAATTGTTGGCATTACAATGGTGCACAATGATTAGTTATAATGGAAAATAGAGAAATAACGGTTTGCATTTGGCCAAAATCTGTTCATGCAATCATAAATCTTTTCGAAGACAAATATTGATACTTTAGTTTTTCCATTACCATTTTGTAGTTGGTTATCTAAATGAAGTCAATGGCCTTTCGTTGTTTATTCAGAAATTTTTCCTTATGTATTTAAACACAGGTCTTCTTTTTGGTCTGTCCGCACCTAAGACTCCTCTCACACTCCATATTGCATTATCTTTATTGATTTATTTATTTCTTTTTGCAAGCAATGATGCCTGTCTATAGTGATATAGTGATATATCTCCTAA